TGTTTATCTTCATTGTATCTTCTAGCTAATATTTTAATGTTTATCGACCTATCATTCTATGACTTTATGAGTTATAGCTAATATTTTTTTATTACTTTAAAATTTGTTTTTTTCTTATAACTTTTACTTTCAACATCACAATAGTGTTCAATTATTTTTATACTTTATATAAGTGGAGACACAAGTTTTAGAATTTTGTTCATATTAATTATATGTTTATACTTAATTTCTGCTTGTTTTTTTAAAAAACTATTGAAAAATAACATTTTATGAAATAATCTAATTAGGTTTTCCATTATAAAAATGTATATTCCCATTTTTGATTTGGTATGACAGATAATTTAATTTATTTTTTTAAACGATAATTTAAAATTTGTATATAGTGATATGGATGTCAAATTGATGATTGTCAAAAGATGATTTATTTGTAAAATTACATCTAAGAAAAATTGAATATAAATAAAAAATATTAACTTTTAAAATATTATCAAAAATATGAAATTTAATCATATCATCAATCATCAACATACCCAGTATATTCCCAAATAGGTTGGGTCTGGGGGGTCAGTTGTACGCAGACCTTACCCTTGTAATTATACAAGGAGGCTGTTTCCATAGCGACCCAAGGTGCGTTGCGTCGTTTGATATATTTTTTTCTAGAAACTTCACTAATAGAAGAAGCACTAGAATTTAATTGAGTCATTTTGATCTAGTCCATTATTTGCACGATGCCAGAAGAATTGTCAACATTGACTCTTCGAGCTCCATTTGCAATGGACTCAAAAATATGAAATTTAATATGTAATATCCCGATAGTTAATCGGTATAAATTACGTTTAATTCCGATATAATAATGTTATAGTTTATTGTTTTCGGAATTAATTATTTTCAGTTGAGATTACCGAAATCTATTTTCGACGTACCGTTTACGTCCGAAATAATTTTGGTAATTAAGCATTATGTTTAATTACATGATTAAACATAAAGTGAGTGATTAATAACAATTAATCATCACATTAGTCAAGATGCCGTAAGTTGGTTTAATATTTTGCCTTAAATGCACATAAAAGCCGTAGCATTTTTTTAAATTGTTCCTCAAATTTGTTGTGAGTTCTTCAAGTTTGGGAAACAAAAGATATGTCCTTCTCATGAAGTAATTACACGTGTTAGGTTAAGAAACA